TTCTGCATTTTTCCGGTTCTCCTTTTTTCTTCGTGAGTTCTTGGATGGTTGGGGGTCGAGGGTTAACGAGGCGTGCCGTTATGCCGTTTTTCTTAAGTGCCTGTCGTACTTGGCCGTTAACCTTGTCGGAGATGTACGGTATTCTAAATACCAGTTGTTTCCCTTTTGCTTGTTTACTTGTGTTTCTTCTTCGGGCTCGCGCTTTGATGATGTGTTCTGCAGAATAGCCGTTCCCTGCAAGTTTATCTGAGATGAGGCGTCTGGCTTCCTCCGCAAACTCAGGCGTGCTGTTGTCTTGTGCTCGCTTGTATTCATTGTTAATGACCGCCATCTTAACCGCCGTTGGATGGTGGGAATCTGCGTGTAGTGTTATCCCTTTGTTTGCTTCTTTTACGTAGAGCTTGTGTGTGACTTTGCCGTCAGGAAGAATCTTTAGTCTGATATCCAGGATTGGTAGGAAACCATCTTTGTCCGGCAACTCCAGTTCAAACTTGATTGTCGGGTGTTTTCCGTTGAGTTTGGTCAGTAGAGACTGTGCTTCCGCAGGAGTGTCAACTGCGGTCCCCGAGTCGTCCACCATCACTCCCTATTAACCCGTGCCACCACCCAAAGCCCTCCATTCTTTATCCACTGACGATGTTGTTCAGAACAACGAAACGTCTGGAGAAGTATCGTAAAAATTTCTATCGTTATTAAATGTTATCAAATATACCACTCTTTGGTCTAGAAAGAATACTTTTTGATATTACAATGAGAGTGAATAATCAACGGCTTGTCCACCAACTCTTTGATACTACAGTCCATTCATAAAAAGATGGGTCCTGGCTCTGGCGAGCTCCCGTATTTGGCGATTTTTCGTGATTTCATCGTACACAGTGTAGTGCTGCGAACTTTGAAATTTGAAAAAGGGTCCAAAAAGGGTGCCTGAACTGGGGTTTGAACCGCAGAATGCACTGTTGCAGGCGGGGTCAAACGGCCTGGATTTTGATGGTTTTTCCCAATTCAGTGCTTTTCGGGCAAAACTTGGCCGAAATCCTATTCTTGCTATGGCTTGCTTTTTGGACAAAAAAACTTCAGAAACATAATTGGAAGAGGATTCCATATGGGATTGCAGAAAAAAAATCAAAAAATAACTCAACGTTTGACCCATTTATGGCCAAAAGCTAGAAGTTCATTTTTTCTGAATGGACTGTAATTCTTCCAAGTTGCTTCATGTTATGATCTTGTATTTAAAAGCCCTATTTGAATATGCATTGTGGCCAGCCGTCTTTGATTGTACGGTACGGTACGGGATAGGTACGGGACAGGTACGGGACAGGTACGGGACAGGTACGGGACAGGTACGGGACAGGTACGGGACAGATACGGTCGAGGGCCTTGATGACGGCAAAAAAAGAAAAGGGATGTTATAAATTTTTCAATTCTCCTATTTTTAAGGCATTACCGCGGATTCAAACTCGCACTATCGCCCTACATGCATTCCACCATACACTTTGAATTCATACTCATTCTTCCAAGTTGCTTCACGTTATGATCTTGCGTTTGAAAGCCCTATTTGAATATTGTGGCCAGCTGTATGTGGCCAGCTGTGTTTGATGGTACGGTACGGTACGGGACAGATACGGCATAGCGCCAGGCGTGACACAAACACTCAAACAAACAAACACCAAATTAAAGCTGTGTGGACCCTGGCTAGCGCCAGACGTTACTGAAGTAACGTCTTCTGCATAGCTACGGGACTTAATTGTAATTTGTAACCACATTGCTCGGCATGCCTACACATTACTGCATGTTTTCTCTGTGTTTTCTTCACTGCATGCTTACACATACACACAACAATTTGAATTATATACAAAATTTGTACTTTGGAATTATCATGTTATGATTCTTTTTAATATTTCCTTCTCTCATAACATTTTATTCGTTCTTAGCAGGAACCGGAGGTTTTTCCTCTGGTGAGAAGGCAGAATTGCCTGTGCTCTTAACGAATTCAAATAAAAGAAAGAAAGAAACAAACAATATGCAAATTTCGCGCGAACGGATTCACGTGATCATACAGGACTCTAGAAGTGGACTTTTGGCGGCATATCAGTATTTGACCCGGGTCAACTGTCTTCATGTAAACGCTCACCTATTTTGCCTATCGTACAGACTTTCAACCCGAGCCGAACTCGAACCGGGTGGAATTTTCTCATGTAAACACTAGCCTTTGGCGGACTATGCTCGGCCAATCGTCAAATTATGCATTTGATAATGCCACAACTATGCCAACAAATATGCTGAATTATGCCCGGTTCCACTATGTATTACTATTCACGCTGTACATGGAGGATTTTGTCTAGAATAAGCCGAGCTTACACGTTGGAATCCGTATATTATGCCAGAGCATGATTATTATTAGTATGCCAGAGCGTAATGTTGTGACGAAATCCCAAGATTGTGCCAAATATTATGCCGGCATAATCCGCTGAGGGCTATGACGAGGAGTCGTAACTGGGGTATTAAAAAAAACATCTGCAGGCTCTCTGACAAAGCTGTATTATGCCCCTAAGCATAATTTTTGTCTAAACCGAAAGGTTATGCCGACCACACAAGTTGGAATCCGTATTATTATGCCGGAGCATAATTTTTGGACGAAATCCCAAGATTATGCCAAATATTATGCCGGTATAATCCGCCAAGGGCTGGTAAACACAGCCTGCCTGTCTGAGCGTTTGTGACCAAAAAGTGTACAACATTATTGTACAATTTTTGTTTGAATAGTAGAATAATCGGTCGTTTGCTTGAGGGTTATTCGCTAGATTATTCGATCGTAAAATTCATGGTTTTTTACATAACTTCTGATGCGCTTCGAACTTTGTTGATTAGATTCAACGTGGGGAGGAGAGGTGTGTGCGAGCGTCGATAAATTCCAACTTGTTTTCTCCAGCAAATCATTATTCAAATAAACCATGAGGAGGATTTACTCCCCCTGTAGGTTGGTAACTAGCTCAAGAGCAGTACTCCATAATTGATCAGACGCAGGACCAGGAAAGTACGGTTGAATTGACATATTCCACGTCAAACAGACCATCTCAACATCGGAGTTGGACGCATCTGCTCTCTGGATATTAAGAGCCGTTATCGAAATAAATCGCCGCACCTCCTCGCTTCTATCATGGAGGCAGGCAGGCAAGCGCCTCCAACTTTACAAGGATGGTTGTACTGTATAGGCTTAATTTCGAGTTTGTCGTTGGATTTACCAGAATGCAGCCAGGTCTCACTAATGCCAATGCGGCCAAATAGTGTTGCTTACTTCATATCTTATGCCTCCAACTACATTATGTTGATATGACCAACAGAATGTATATGTATGCTGTGTACGCGATTAGCGGATGGCTTACGCTAAAGGTTGCATCAAAGGTAGAACAGAAGTGTGTGCGGGTTCAGTTGACTATAAGGTGGTATGTGGGTTTTCAATGGGGTTATGATTACGAAAAGGGGTAAATAATGATAAATAATAATTAGAAACTCGGATGTTAAACCAACAATAAATGGCTGTATATCATATCTGGTTGCAGTGATGGAGAGTTACTCTCGACTCATATCTATATTTCTTTTTTCCTTTCTATAAATATTTATTAAATAATTATACAATGGAAGCGGTCCTCACCAAGAAAACACAATCCGTTGCTACTCCGAGTTTCTTGAGTTTTTCAATCGTCAGGCAACTTTTCTAACTAAAGCAGGGCTGTCAGGTCCACTAAAGAAATACACAACCACACAGCAAGGCGTTTTTTTGCGCCTTGCTGTGTGGTTGTGTATTTCTTTAGTGGACCTGACAGCCCTGCTTTAGTTAGAAAAGTTGCCTGACGATTGAAAAACTCAAGAAACTCGGAGTAGCAACGGATTGTGTTTTCTTGGTGAGGACCGCTTCCATTGTGTACTAGCTCCAGTGCATCCCAGCGCTGTTGAGCCCTCTTTGCGGTGGACGGGACCACTTCTCCCTGTATTAAATAATTATTATAGATTTTTAATATATTTTACCTTCACTGAAGAGATGTAAATGGTGGCACAAGCGCTGGGGTCCTTTAATTGCAAATACGGGGCTACGTGAATCTCGGAGTTACAAACAAAGCTTCCAATATTCCTCTCTTCGCCTTTCTCTCTCCGCCTCTCACTCCCTCTCTCTTTTCTCTCTCCCTCTATCTCTCTCTCTCTCTCTCCCTTTCTCTCTCTCTCTCTCTCCTTATCCTCTTTTTTTACAAGAAAGAGGTTCCAGGCTGTCGAAGAGAGTGCTCAATACCGAGAGGCAGAGCTAGTTCAAACAATAAGAGGACCGAGAAGTGTTTTAACTCTGAGTTAACTGGTTTCTGATGATCGCTTCCGCTGACGTGACTTGATACTTGACTCTTGACTGACTCACGATTATATGTGTTTGCCAATATATAAAAGTTGGAGTAATGTTGTTTATATGAATAGATTCCGCAAGAAAGCGGATTTCGGGGAGTGCAAACTGATCCATATGGTGCAATTTGCCCCCAAATCGAAAGGATTTTTTAATAAGCTTTAGTTGCCTAGCTTACCAGAAACATCTACTTGAAACTGACAGCATAGAAACTAGATAACAACTTTCTGACAGTGACAAAGGAGTCGATTGACACCAAGTGTTATTATTTATTATCGTTTCAAATCATGTCTATCATCTATTGTGCCTATCGTTTTACATGACCATTTAGGGCTACAGGGTCTGCTATTCAGTCTCTGAAGAAACGATGGTGCAAGAAGCCATTACAAACCTTTACGTCAAATTCTGCTGTATCTGTCTCTGCGGGGAGAGCCTTTCCTACCATTTGAGGCGCCCACTCGTGGAGCACATTCCTCTATACTTTGAAGTGCAATGGAAATCCGCCAAATTGAGTTTGAAATTCATTGCTTGATTAACAATACTTAATATTCAGAAGGGCATGGTCATTGCAGATAAGATTGTTTTACGTATTTTTTGTTATGTCCCTGATCAGTTTTCCCTTCAGCGGAACAGACAGCACCAACTTCCACTTCAAAATCTTCCAATATTGTTCCAGGAGTCATTGGTTTTCTCGCTGGACTGATTATACCTGCTGCTTTGATAATAATTTATTTGGCGCGATATCGAGGCACGGCTAAGACTATCAGCATGACAGAGAGCGACAACGCCAAGCCCACGGCCATTTTTGTGAGTCAATTGACAGAGAATGATGCGTACGAAATGACTTCAACTGTGGTCGAAGCAAACCCCGAACCAGAGTATGAAACAATGAGCCCGGCATAACTTTCAGTGTTTTCTATGTTTCTTTTCTTGCATCATGCACCAACAAGGAATGAAAGGCGCTGTTTGCATATTGCTTAATCATTAGCTGTTTGTTGTTTGCTGGATGTCCTAGCTTGCCATTATGTCTTCTTTTCTTTTTAGATTTGCGCCATGCTGCAGCACTTTGTTTTGTGAGTATATAAACCAATACTGATCCAGATTTCTCATTACTGTTTTCTGATGATCGCTTAGTGCGTGAAACTCTGAGTAAAAATGCTTTCTCTGTCCTCCTATTGTTTGTCTTCTTTTCCTTCAGTAGTTGTACTGAAGGTCTCAAAACAAAAACGCTGCAGCCGGCAGATATAGTTGTCGTATCAACGGTATTGTTAAAATACAAAAACTTGCCGAAAACATCCCCCTTCACCAATTTAGAACTCTTGTAATGCTTTGTTCTTTTTATCTTCAGCTGCCGAACAGGCAATTTTAGAGCCCTGAAATGTCAGGTGCTCAAACTCTGTATTGCTAGCCATCATGCTGACAGTCAAACTCAAGTTCTGACTCCCCTGATGATGGCACTGTCTGCTGCAGAAACAAGAGCACTATACCTTTCCTTTGCCCTTATAGCTGCTATACATTATACTATGCTTACGGCACTAGAAACAGCATCTGTAAATCAAGTGCTTCAGGTAGAGCTGTCCTGTTGTGTAAGAGAGTCCATGCTCATACATGTGTAGGTGTGTGCATGTTTGGGAGTTTGCCGCAGCTCTCCAGACAGCCTGTGCTGGTGTTCAGGTACTATGCATGTGCATGGCTTGCTCATTGAAATCCATTCGCATCACTCAAGTACGCAACGGGCATTCCGCATCTGTGGCCCTGCGAAATCTGGGGTGCAAGACGGTGCACCACGCTAACTTTGGTGGTGCGATTGAACATCATTGAGCAGCACTGTAGCTCACGACTTTTAGTTAGTTTGCTTCGTTCTGATACGGCCAAGAAAATCTCTTAGGGCGCGGAGTTCACAATATCCTATACTTTCGTTGTATGTGATGGGTTGCTACCCAATTGGCATTGACGCATGCATGCAACCACATGGCACGTAGTTGACAGGATCTGAAATCACAAGCAAATACTTTGAGCTTCCGAGACCAATATGCACCGATCTGGGCTGTCAATCTACAATGCGCCTTGCTCTTGACGGTCCAGTAGTAGTACAGTCAATCAGGCTGTCTACAGTGCAAACTGGTTAACCATGCAGGTAAATTTGCCTACAAGCGAAGACATCATTCTATATACCGGGTGCTGATAATGTGTTCACGGTACGATCCGTACTACGGTCAACAAAGGCTAGCCTGCCATTGATCCGAAAACCTGTCAAGACTATGCTGATGACGCGCGTATACTGAGTGGGATTCTGTAAGGGAGTGTTATTTTTTCAACTCCATTGGTAGCTGAAACGGGCTGAGAACGTACACCAGGAACAGTCCGAACACGACAACATGTGATGTGAGTTTTCGCAGTCGGCGGAGCGTACCCCATAGAAAAGGTACTGGAGACGTGTTCTTGTTGTAAAGATGGCTAAACGACGGGGGCGTCGCAGACGACAGCAGTATGGAGCCAAAGCGGCGAAGGAGCCAAAGCAGATCTTGAGATAGGTATGAAACTTATTGAGAATGCATCGGAGGTTATTGATGAACTGGAAAATTCTTTGACCATCGGAAAAGGCATGCGGGTCGATGACTGTGGTGAAACGAGTATCTATTGTGACCAATCGATCACTCGTTAAAAATATTCGATCGAGTATCCGATTATTTCGAGTATTTTATCAAAATTCAAAAGCACTAGATTTCCAAGTTCTCGACCAATTCGGAAGAAATTATTTGTGAACACAGAACAAATTTAGCCAACGTCTTGTACAGAGTGTAAAGTATCGATTTTCATCAGTACTTTCATATCTCAGAACGTTACTTGCCGTGGTGATCGCATCGTCCAAGTCACAAGTCAGTAATACTGACTCAAAGCCATGCATAACGCATGCATACCGGTGGACCAGCGGTACAACAACATTTTTGAAAAATACAATGCCAATACTATAAAAACAAAAAAACGTCGAATTCAAAATTTTGAATACTCGCTCGTTCGAAATTTTCGAACGAATACTCGAATATTCGAACGAATCGTTTCACCCCTACGGCTGATTGTCTCCTAAGATAAAAAGCTGTATCAAGTCTATATTAGAGCAAAGAAGGCGCACGACGGCTCTCCTGGGAATATGAAGTTGCAGCAAGACTATCTAAGGGCCCTTACACACTACGTACATGTAAAACGCAACTAACTTGAGCATACGTTGCGTATGCGCCAGCCTGATCAAGTGCCGTTGCACACTGACAGGTGATCTGCTTTTTACGTACATGCACACTGTACATTCAACAAGAAAATGTAGTGCAGTTCGGATGCTCTCAGAACGAGATGCTCCTGAGCTGAGGGGGCCGAATCCAGGCACATGTCTAAAAATCGATGCCACGTCCTGAAGTTGGCCCCGCTCGCATACGCTCCTTCTAACGTTAGGTCAACCTCTCCAGTCGCAGCGCTGCCAGTTGTTGTTGCCGACTGGAATTTGCGGTACAAATCTTTGGCCGACTTCAGATTATCGATCTTGCAGTGGACTATCTTCCCGTTGAAGTCCACATCAAGACCGATTGACTTTCCATACTTGTTGAGCTCCTCCGCAATTTCTTTTTCTTTTTGGGATCGCTTCATCATGCTGCCGCTCTTCGGTTTTTTTATATATCGCCCACAGCTCCATGAGCCGCTTCGCCTTCTGTGAACTGGATTTTCGGCATAGTGTCACGCTCAGCAAGCAAACAAGATAGAGTCTACTACGGCTTGAACAACACGAGTTCAAGTACGAGAATTTCAGAAGCAGGCGAAAAGTCCAATGGACAGCTGAAATAGAAACACGGAAATCCACACAGCACCAAACAGCAAAAACACCAACAAGAAGTTGAAGTCCGAAAGCGCGGGAAGGCATAAAAGCTAAAAAGCTAAAAAGCAGCCTTCTACACCCGTCCGAGATCTGAGTAAAACGTTTACGCAACTTTTTAGATTTCGCGCCAGATGACGTCAGTCGACATGGCAACTTTTACAGGAACGCACCAAAAAATCGGTTTTCTACGTAGTGTGTAAGGGCCCTTAGAGCGGAGCAGGCGTTACAAAGAGCGAAGGACAGAATCATAGCTTAATAGAAAAAAATACAAATATATACCACTATCAAACTGGTGTACTAGCGATCACAGTCGACGGAATCAAGAATGACGCTCATGTGGAGAAATCAAACGCAAAGCGCTTACATCTCTCCCTGGGATCCTCCAACAGCTGAAATCCTAGACAGAGAGCTTTCAGACTTGAAAGAAAATGCCATCCGCAAAGATGGTTCAATTTCTATGAATGCGCGACTCAACATGGGCCACAACCCCGTATGTTTTATGGGCGATGACATGCAGAGTGTTCCTTGTGATGTAACACGCGGTGCAATGGTGGAGCACGTTCGCAATGCCGTAGAGAATAAGGTAGATTCATCAAAATGTTAAGTTCGAAACAGGACGACTGACAACGGGAACAAGTTAGTGGGAACGACATTTATTATAGACGACGAGACAAGAGACCAAGACGAACGAAACGACTACATGGTGATTATTGACGAGTGAGAAAAGAGAGAGAGAGAGATCAAGTCTGAACGGCAAGATAAAGGGCCTGGGTAGCTATGGCGAATATGGGCGCGCAAGTAGCTACCCAGGCCAACGGAACAAAAGGAGACAAAAGGTGAGTACGTAAGCGCATGCAGGCCAGCTAGAAAAGGTACGGGAGGAGGTACCTAACATACAACCCCTCCATGAAAAAAATCCCGCTTCCTCGCGGAGAGAAAAAAAAGAAAGAAAAAGATTTAAAAAAATGAACTGGAGGAGAAAACACACACACACACACACAAACACATACTGGACGCGCGCATGGATCTCACGAAAGTGTGTACCAAAAATGCACTCGTACACATCATTCCTGGACTACTTATTGTGTGTAATAACTATTGGAGTTTGACGAGGAACGTGAATTACTAGTATTTTGCACGGCTAATACAGCCTAGTTACACTTTTGCTAAACATCCAAAAATTAGAGCGTGGCTCACCATGATCGGACCCCTAACTTGGTTATGTTTTACGAACACACGCGCGCGCACACACTACAAAAAAATTCACGAAAATAAATTTGACGAAGAAGAATACAAAAAAAAGGAAGAGAGAAAGGTAGCTGACCTGCATGGCTTGAACGAGAACAGACGAGGTAAGGTTGGCGTAGGAGAGACGAGGTTGATAGACACGAGACGAGGTTGGCGTAGGAGAGACGAGACTGACATGGACAAGACGAGGTTGACATAGACGAGACGAATGGTGGTTAAGGACGGCTGGGCATGGGATGATCTCAGGGTTGTGGGTCGATCAATAATCGGGCGCCAATGTTGAGTTCGAAACAGGACGACTGACAACGGGAACAAGTTAGTGGGAACGACATTTATTATAGACGACGAGACAAGAGACCAAGACGAACGAAACGACTACATGGTGATTATTGACGAGTGAGAAAAGAGAGAGAGAGAGAGAGAGAGAGATCAAGTCTGAACGGCAAGATAAAGGGCCTGGGTAGCTATGGCAAATATGGGCGCGCAAGTAGCTACCCAGGCCAACGGAACAAAAGGAGACAAAAGGTGAGTGCGTAAGTGCATGCATGCCAGCTAGAAAAGATACGGGAGGAGGTACCTAACAAACATTACAAGAGCGAACCGCTTTACTCTGAGCTGCCATGATGGAAACGACCGAGAACGTCAGCGAAAACATCAAACTTACGCTAGATCAACAGAGAGAAATCGAAGGAAATTTTTCTCCCCTACCTGAAGAGCGCACTGCGGATTTGACAGTTAACTACTGGAGTAGTGACATCCTCTTGGAAGGAACAAGACCTCCGAATTCCCATTTGGTTTCGTACGCAGTGTTGGTGAAATGTTGGGAAACGCACGCTCGTGAACGTGTAGTATGGTTGGGGGCGAAGCACGTCCCCGGAGTACTTCCTTTCCTCAAGACAGAGTCTGAAGATTCGATTACTTGGATGCACATCGTCAGGAGCTTGAATTCGCTGACCGTCGGACTGTTTACCATCGGAGAAACTTGGATCTACAAAGCTCTGTATCTCGTAAAGCCCCCAGGATAACACCACCATGTCCGTTATTCTCACGGCTGTGAACAATGCTGCAGGTGTGACCGATGGGCTCTACACGTCACATTTTACGTTGGGTATACGAGAATTTGATTCCCGTAATAAAACGATTAGACTGGAGGGTGCCCAGTTCGAATTGCATCGACATAACATCACCTCGACAACGAACGCATTCCGGATCGAAATCGATGACGCTCCAGGTCAATCGAAAAACCTCATGAAACAACCCACACCGTATATCTGCTCATTGGAACGAACGAGACCGCGGAACATTTGCATGACATGTTGAATGCACGTCTGAATCAACGCAGCTTGCAAAACATAACGTTTAGTTATTCGCGTGCAACCGCGAAATGTTGTCTCGATGTGAATGCGGGGGTTCGAGTAGTATTCAACAGCGCGTCATCGGCATCAAGAACGTGGGAAAGGGTGAATACACCGTCCAA